AATAAAGAAGCCTAATGACGGGTTTTTGTGGAACAACTTTACCTAAGCATCAGTTTCATAAATAGAGTTTTTTGTAGAACACCTCTACCTAAGCATCAATTTCATAAATAAAGAAGCCTAATGATGGGTTTTTCTGGGTCAGCTTCACCTAAGCATCAGTTTCATAAAAAGGGAAGTCCCAGGAGCACACTTCCTCATCCTTCCTGTTCTTCACCGCTCCCCTCTCCCCTCAAATGTACGTTACTTAGTCAATCGGCAAAGGATCTACGCCATTTATTCCTTACATTCACCTATCCTAGCCCCCCTCCCTTGCCTCGAACGAAACATGCCGCATTCCACCCCCACTTCTACCTCTCCATATTCAAACTGCCGCCATCTGTCGTTGGACAGCCCAACCTGCCGTCGGCAGAAAAAATTTTTTGCGGCTTGTGTATGAGACGAGCCGAGTCGGGCCGAGTTATAGTAATTGCGCGAACGACTGCACTATTGCACCGTCGAGCCGCGCCGAGTTTTAATAACTCCATTTTTTTTTAAGCGGTGGACGAGGAGGAGTGAGGCGCTTGTGAAAAAGAGTTGCCTTGAGTCGACTGGAGCTGCCAGTAGGGCTCAAGCCGGGCCCCAGGGGCCTGATGTGGATGAGATTGGCGCATTGGCCCGTGGCTGCTCGGGGCTGCCATCGTACGGTGATATGTATTTTTTGCGTCGTTCTCGGCCCCGCGGTTCAGCAGTGTTCCTGCCGAAGAATCGGGACTGCATCCTCGCGTTCAGTGAGGCGAGGCTCTGCTACATCCTCATTCGTAAGCCATTCTACGGCACAGCCCTGCGGAGAGGGACGAGTGGTGGCGGCGGCGCGGTCGAGCAGGGCAAGGGCAATGGTCGTGGGCGAGCTCACGTAGGTCTCATGCTATGCCAGAGGGGCGCTAGATGCGTAACGCGATGATAGAGCTGCTGAGTTCGCCTGTCAGCGTTGTTGTTTTGCAGATGATGTATCCGCTGAATGTTTGGAAAGGTGAAATAAGCAAGAAATAGTGACATTTCCATCGATAATGTATCAGTGTCGATGATGATGATGATGATGATGACGGGTTGC